AGACTTCATGTGGAAATTTCTTTACTGGCTACTGTATCATCAGGCAGAAGGATTTCAAAACCGAGCTCCTTGTTCTGAACTTGATCATGACTTATGTGGATGCATCTCTGTCCACATGCACTATCTTATATAACTGAGTTCCCAACCATGTATCCTCATTAAAATTTTACGGTCTCATCTTCTAATAATCTGTATGTTAAGCTTGCAGTTCCAGGCAATTTCCAATTTTAGTAACTGCACTGAATTGCTTGAACTGCCCCCACTCCTTCATCTAGAAACAGTATTCTTAAGTTTTTATATTACTGGTGAATGTAATCTGCACCCCCAAAATAGCTATATATCAATCATGGTAAATTAATGCTTGTGAATAATCAGAAATTTGGGGACAGAAAAAAAGAATAAAAGATAAAGCTTAATATAAATGCAAAATAATTAACGTGATGTTATGGGGCTCAAAGACAGTAAGTGTAAATAGCTTCTGCCACAATTCTTGAAACATAATTTCTGCTTTTGTTTCCTGGCAGTAAACGCTAAAATTTAATTAAAATATTCCCTTTCCCTTGCCTTTTAGATGGGCTGGCTTGCAATTACATGGGATTTTGCTCCACTGCTGTTTGTGTAGCTGTCATTTGTTTTTTACTGATATTTAATATAAAACCAACCCCCAGGCAAGTAGGTATCTGAAACATAATTGCCAAAGAACACTACAAATGCATGTAGCAATTAAGTTGCTGTCATACATACTGCTGACCCAAAGAAATAGGTCTGAAGTCTTGACAAAGGCAACCAAGGTGTGCAGACTGAAAGATGTGCAATAGCATGCCAAAGGTTAGCACTATAATGAAATGTATTTTAATTCACAGAATCCATAAAAATATCTAGAGTAGAATAAGTCTATGGAACAAAACTAATACAGACCTGATGCGTTTTGCTTTCTAATTATTGCAGCAAGCTTTATAGAAATAAGGGAGACCACTGAGCAATTCAGTGACTATGAAGAAAATGCAGAATACTTCTCTTGCCATACTCTGCTTTATTACCAAGAAAAAATGTTACCAATGATCCTTTGGTGTGGGGTGTGGGGGGGTGTGTGTGTCCGTCCGTGTCCGTCCGTCCCCGTCCCCCCCCCCATTATATTACCACTGTAATGTAATCATTAATTTCTCCTGGAAAGCTGTCAAAGATGCTGGCATCCAAAACAGTGTTCCTTCTTGTAATAGTATCCGAGGGCCTCAAGGGCAGCCCCAAACATTGCGGAGCAGAACTGTCATACAACAAAGTAGCACGAGCACAGCCTACAGGACCAAGCACTGGAAAAGGAATGCAAAATCCAGCACCCTTTTGGCTCAGAGATAGCAATAATATTAGCTTAGTTTTGATGACACTGACAACATATTTAGTCTGGTCATATTTTAAAGAATAACAAAATCACATGCTTTGCTGGGACATACACCCACAATCTAATAATTATACTACTCAACACTAATATGAATGCTTTTCAGGGTGGTCCAACATATTCAAGAGTTGGGGCTGGATGCCAATTCTGGCAACTGCCTTTGCTTTTTTTCTCTCTCTTCCTCTCCCTCTGCCTCCACTGGGTAATGTGGATGCATCAGCTCACAGATCAAAGCATCTGGCCATCTGTAGACACAAAAGAAGGTGTTTGTCCATTTTGCTTCATGTGCTGAGAACCATTCACCAATGTCAGAAATCATATTCCCTTCTCAGAAGTATATTGGGTGGTAAAGACTTCAAGTGCATGACAGTATCGAGGCATAGTAGTAGGTATTTAGCTGTTTCAGCTCACAACATTGCCCTAATAACATTCATCGTCTTTGAAGTGGCAGCAGAAAAACTGGAGTATGGCCAGATGTGTTTATTTTTATGCTGAGTTTCATGAATGCATTTGGGGTTTTTTGGGGTTTGGGGGTTTTTTTGTGAACAAGATCGTCAGAGATTCAACTTTAGTTCATTTGAAAGCCAGAATTACAGCTGTGAACTTCTCACTAACACCATTCTGGGATAGAGATTCAGCTCTGACTCTGTTAATAGCTTGCCACCTAATGGATTATAAAAAATGTCCTGCAGCAAGTGTTTGACCCCGCTTAACTTATCAGATGTAACAGCTAAAAGCAAGCAGCATGCGGACAGATCTGGGAATCAGTTAGAGCAAAGCTCTGGAAACAGCATATAAGCAGGATCTGTGAAGACAGAGCACTAGTCTCTTTTTTTTTTT